TCAGCATTCCCTGTGGGAATGCTCCTTCATATTGAAATATACAACGTTCTTCAGTTACCCAGTGGCTTTCTGTCCAATGCATATCACCATGATTACGATGGCAACAACTTGAAACTGGTTGTCAACCAAGTGACACCCTGGCACTTGCAAAAACAGCACTTTAAATTACCCAAGATTCATAATTTAGGAAGAGGAAGTCAGCCAAAAGGAAAATATTGTTTATGGTTGTAATCTGTATTTATTAACGTTAGAATGCTACAGTAGCTCGAATATTTATAGTTATTGTGGTGTGATAAAAACAAAGTTATTGTACAAAGAAAATACATCTTACCTGTGTGCATGTACGTACATAAAGATTTGTTTCTGTATGTAGAGGTGGCATTGTGATTATCACAGCGATAAGAGGAAGTGCATTTGGTTTGTCTCCACACTGAAAATAAAGAAATTTGAAGCTGTACACGACAAGAGCTTTGAACCGTGAATCGAGATTACTTTGAGTGGTCGTGTTTACATTGAAACCTGTATCAATCCTCTTAATACTAACAGTGAGTATTGCATCTAATTTCTCCTTGCTGCGCCCCTCCTGCATCCAACATTAACGTCATGAAGAAAAAAAAAGGAAATTTGAAATGATCGTCTACCTGAAGAAGTTCTTGATTGTAAGACAAATTCTCCTTGTCGGTACCATATAAAATGTATAAAGATTGCTATGGAGAATATCCATTTTGATGTTAGGGTGTAAAGGTTAAGAAGACAGGAATGGCGCAGTGCTTCCTTATCCCGGTGACTGACTACGGTCTGGGCGCAATTCACGGAACTGACGTCACACGTGGGCTGAGTTCGTAGTTCCTAGTTTCAAGGGTTTTCGCTTGGCTCTACAGTTATCTTCTCTCCAAAAGAACTAACCCTTTAAATTTCAATTCCATGCACCAGGAATAAAGTGGACGAAAGCTAACCCGAGGAAGTTTCACTGCTGAATTCAATTTTTTTTTGTTTTATCTATTCATTAAGCGGACAACCTTGCGTCCTTACTAAATCCAGGGTTTACTAGAATGCCTAATTGTGACAAGTCCAGTATTTTTTGTGAGTATTCATCATTGAATAGTAATTCTTTCTACCTTTCTCGAGGAAAGTGTTTCGCCGAGATGTATTTTGCAAGGTGAAGAGTTTATTAAAACATACGAAACAGTCGCACCCTTGTCTTCTCTTTGAATTGCGGTAAATAACTATGCACATGAGCTATTAAAGTTTGACTCGAAATTGCTGACAGACAAAGACCTGAAATGACAGGAAATCTATTCTAGGAATACCGAACATTTTTTTACGAAAGTAATTAGTGGTTTTCTGTTCCTCGGAAACAGACAAGTGTTCAGCGATTTTCAGATCTTTTTAATAAACGCTGTAACCTGTCTCACTGAGAATCGATTCATCCATTCCTGTGAAAACTCACCTTACTTGTGTTCGTAAGTTTCACTCTTATCAAGTTAGGTTCGTTGGGCCTTTAACATATATCTAAATGCATAAATAATACGCATGCATGGCCATACATTTTGATTAATAATTCTTATTTGACCTAGAACGAGAAATCGGGCATAATTTATTATTGGAGGTAGTCGCATCTTAAAGCGCAAAGTGAGAAGGTGAAAGAACTCATCCAGGAAATCAGGAAGCCTAGGAGACTACACGTTCAACTTGCAGAAAGTAAATTGTGAGTAAAAGGTGTTGAAGTTTTTTAGTTTTCATCATGAAGATTTCACTAATTATGGTTGTTACTTTGTGTGTTGCCACTGATGGACGTTTGTAGCTACAAAAACGATGATCGTCAACTTTGAGATCTTGTAGTGTTCTTGTTCGGCTTGGAGACCTCCTGAAAAGTACCACTGTCGATGGAAGTGACTGAAATTAAAACAACATAAGCAAACGTTAACACCACACAACACTAATGAGCGACTATTCGTCACGAGCTCGGGGCATTTATGACAACAACCTTTGAAATGTTACACTTGAATGGTTCGAGTTCTAAACGATAATTTTGGTTGTTATTTGCCACACATCAGCTTTCAGTGTATTGTAGCAAGCAGGATTATCTTTCTAAAAAGAAAAACAACAAAAAACAGAACAAAGACTATGCAAAAACAATTTATCCTCTTTATCTATTAAACTATCACATGTCGACTTGAGGTGCTAAATTTAGAAAGGTTGTTTCGGCTCTGATTCCTTTCTTTTGCCGTCAGACGCAGTTCGATTTTCCTGTATGAAATATTTAGTTTTCAAGTGTGATTTGGCTTCTTCGGACCGATTTGAAAAGACAGAAATTAAATCTAGTCTTAAATACTAAGTTTTTGATTCGCTGTTTCCACTCAAATTGCGTTTTATCAACAGACAGATCAATGTCAGTGTCAATTGACAGAATTTGAAATTGTGCTGTCAAAAGCGACCAGTATTTGCATAAAAGGTGAAAATAAACAGGCGGAGAAGTTTTGATGTAGACGAATATGTTCTTTTCAGATTTTAATTAAATAACGTCCAACATTTATGTGTAAGTCACGCATCAGGAGTGTCTTAAAATAATACATAGCCTGGGTCGAATAATGAAATACTGCATCGGCAGTGGGATTAAAGTGGCTCCAAATGAAATGTTGATTTAATTTTTTTAAGTATAAATTCTTTGACTGATCAACAATGGTTTGCCCTTTTTCCTTGAGGAAAGTGCAGTTTTTAGTACTTGTAAAGTTTTTTTTTTTTGACATCATAGGTTGTCATAGTAACATCGTGGCCTCCTATTGAAATACACCCTCGTTACTTTCGTCATATCCAGCGCCTTTTCCGATTGACGCCCCCCTTGAAGTTGGCTGCCACTCTGAGCAACTAAAAGTTGTGCGGAATGTTCGAAGTGAATAAAATTTCTCCAAATATCAAAATATGCTGGACATTAACAAAAAAAACTTTCTAGTCATTTTCACAGTATAGTACCGCCTTTGAACCCTGTAACCCTGTCAGAGACGACTGATCCCCTCTCTGTTTCCCCCTGAAAATCCCTCCCCCCCCCCACCCCATGCTCCAAGATGATAAATGAATCATAACTGCTCCCTAATGACGAAAATGAATGGTATCCCCTCCCCCTCTGCTCCATGATGATAGATGAATCCTTAATGATAGAAAATCTGGAATCGTCTGTGGATGAAAAACATTTCTGCAATGTATCAAGTTCGCTCCTATGATCTCATAATGCGCACTTATACTTCGTAATAACATTAAATGTAACAAAACTCCAGCACCTTCAGATTTGTCCCTACGAAGAAAATACTCGCGCTCGAGCTATACATCCTGTGCAGTTTCTCATCCTTCTGAAATCGGTAAGTGTATGTCAAATCAGTAGGTATTGCTGTTAAAATTCTCAGCGTCTTTCGTGATCATATCTAAGATGGATAGCGAATGCGAAATATCTTTCTTCTTCACTTGATGGCTGTATCGCCGGTCTTATGCCCTTTTCGATTGCCTGTAACTTGTACTTCCAGGGCACTTGAACGAGCTTTTGTCTTTACAATCAAATTACAACAATAAATAATGCCAAATTATAGATTACTTCGAATGTTTATGCTAGAAAGAGAGAAAGGATTCCAATAACAACTTGTGTAATCTGATCGTTATCTGTCTCTCTCAGGATACAACACAACATGTTCTTTTACTTGTCACATTTAATTCCCTTAAGTAGGACTCAACATAGAGTATGTGATGTTTGTGACAGGCATAAAACACGGTAAATTGGCGGGTTAACATGGCGACGACGAATAGCGATGCTCCATCTTTACATTTGCTATCGCAGCGGCAGTAAGTAAGAGAGAGAGAGAGAGAAAGATAGTTGCGCAAGAGAAGGAACTCTCCTATCTTTTCCTCGGCTCTGTAGAGAGGCTTTTTTTTTTTTCCTTTTTTTTTTTTTGCACTCACCGATTATCCAGAGTACCCTGGAGGGGAGTGTCAACGGCGCCGTTCACAACTCTCTTACCTAGAGTAGTTATTATGCCCATCCTCGCGAGATAAACTAGGATGACCTCCCTTAAATTTGTGGTTCTCAAAAATAGTCGTTAAAACCTATGGTCAAAAATCTTAAATACCTTTAAGATTTACCCCCAACTGAGGGAAACGACCCACTTAACTTAACAAGTGATGATAGTTTTCTACCCTTGTTTTTAGGCGAGACTTAAAAGATAGTCGGAACGTATGCTAAAGAAGAATTTGTGGAGCGAAATTTTGCCCCCTGAGAAGTTAAACCATCACAAACTGTGTTGATGTGAATATTTTTTAGTTGTCAACGGGCAGCTTCGATCTTCTTTTTCTTCGGTGAAATCAAACACCAGCGGCCGTCATATTTTTCAAGTATTCCGGGCTCAATCGGGGCTACTCGAAAGGACACAAATATGGCATCCCCATCAAAATTATTGTTTGACTTTTTGGCAAGTAACTCATCGGCCTAAAAATGGTCTGATTTGAAACGTTTACTCCGATATATAGAGAATAATATATGGGCGCGCGTGTATATAGAATTTCTCTTCGAGTGTTCAACTCGAAGGGAAATTCGTAT